ATAATTTCAAGGGACAAAGTGTTACATGTTAAAGTAGGTGAAATATTATAGATGTTCTCCATAATCTATTGATCTAACTAGCATGACTTATCTGGAAAATGAGCCACACTATTTATGAATATTGTGTCTTGTTAATTAGAATATAAATAATATCCTAAAATAATTTTAAGGGCAAAGGCTTAAACAATGGGTAGGTGATGGGATAGAAAATTAATTAGATTTAGAATTTTTGTTTTATCAAAATGATTTCTCTTAGATTTGGATTAGGATTTTATTTGAATAGTTACATTTAATTACTTAAATTCTTAGAATATCTCATATTTAACGCTTTGACTTTGAGGGTTAAAGCTAAATTCATAAATAGCGTCCTAGCACCTTTGATTTAATTAGTTAAATTATAGTGAAATGTAAGTGGTTAAAAATTCTTTATATTTTTTAATGGAGGGACTAGGGAGTGTGGCTTCTCCTATATAGATAGAAAATTAATAACAGTTAGATTCCTTAAAAAATAATTATTGACACATTGATCCTTTTTTTTTTTGGCCGGCAAGATCTTTTTTTCCTTTATAAAATAGCAATTATATTATCAAATAAAACAGAAATATAAATTCAAAGGTTTAAGGGAGAATTACAGTTAGGTCTCACATAAATGAATTAATTACTGTAAGGTTCATTGACAACTGAACTAAATTGCATGAGATTTTAATATAATTGTCCCAAGGTTTAAAACTTAACAGTAAAAACAGAAATAGGAGAGACACTTTGATCCCGTCAATACTGACTCAATTTGAATGATATACTCCCTCTCTCTCTCTCTCTCTCTATATATATATATATATATAAATAACTTTTTGTCACAGGAATCAACGTGCTACTAATTCTCTTAAGGGATTCAAATTAAATATCATTTTCCCTTTTCTGCATTCGATATTTATATTATTACATTTAAATTTAAAAAGAACTAAAGTTCAATCGTAGTTACTTATATGAAACAAGTGTTAATTATGTTTTGAAAAAAAATTATTTGACATATTTTCAACAAATTAGAACACATTTTACATTTATATAGATGTTTTGGAACATTAAATATAATAAAAGCCAACTTGTTGGAGGATCCTACTCCTTATGCTCATCGAAAGCCAACTGTATGTATTGGTTCTAGTGGTAGGAAATCGAATTTCCGTGAATAATTAAAAAAAATGGGTATTAAATAAACTCAATAATGACATTTTATAAACTTACTTTTTTAAAAAAGTTATAAACTTTTAAAAATACTCCTACGCACTTAATCATTACACTACAATTTTATTTTAATTTTCTCTCCACTTGAAGGATAATATTAAAAAGGTATTATTAATGAAACCTTATTTTTCTCAAATTATTTTATATTTTGAAATAACAAAATTTTTCCAAAGTTGTCTTATAATTTGGAAAGGAGGGTGCATTAGATATGAGTTTACCTGAGAAAACAAATAATAAGGTCTATCTATTTGATATCTTTGCATGATTTCTATCACTTGTATAACATGATAAAATATACCAAGTTTAATTTGTACTTTTGACATGCTACAGATTTTTGGACAAGGCAATGATCATTGACGACGTTGATGCATCAGGCAATGATAGAAAGCCTTGGAGGCTATGTTCATTAAACCAAGTGGATAGGGGTGGAGGCATGAATTTTTATTAGGAGTCGAGGGATGACAAAATATATATGATAATCGAAGAAAAGTTAAATTTATACATGTAACTAACATAATATAAATATTTCAACATATATATTTAAATTCAATTTTACAAATATATAATAAAAATAAATATATACCTTCATTTTTTAAGTTTTGCACTCAATTTTTCATGGAAAAACAACCAATTATCATATTTGGGATTGATAAACTTTTTAACAATTTATTTTTAAAAATAAACTATCATTAAAAATAAACTATCATCTTTCCTAGCTATGAATACTGAATGATTTAAATACATCATTGAGATTTAAGTTTTGTTCAATTTAAGATACTCTATTACTTATTTGTTGAATTTACTATTTAATTTTTTCAATTGATAATCATAGTAAATAAATATATCAACACAATAAAAATACTTAATTGTCACAAAATCTTTAGGTCAATTATATCTTTTTGTTGCAGCTCTTGACAAAGCTTAGATATAATTCTTATAATTTATTTCATCAAATATCAAATGAAAACAAAATTAAATGATATCACCAATGCTCTAATTAAGAGCATGTGTAGTAATATTATCTCTTTAAAAATTAATAGATTTTATGATAACTATATCTTCAAGCTATTAAAATAGTTATACTATATATGCTTAAAGACAACGTATATAATCGAAATGACAATGTCATCTAGTGTGTCATCTAGTGTGTCAAGGTTTCTATAATATGCCAACTTTAGGAGATTGAAAATATATAGCCCCTGTATTTTATTGAGAAAAGATAAAAAAGGTTATGAGGCTGTGACCCCCTAACTAGTCCCCCCATCCCCATGCCAACAAGTGAAAGAAATAAAGCTAGTTTTTAGCGGTTTAGCCTCATACCCTTATGGCTAGCAAGCCTGTACAATGGTTTAGTTATAGCTCAAGTCACAACCTTCTTCACCAAACAAGGCAGCACAATGGTTCGATCCACTGTTGGACCCCACTTCAGCATCACACCAGAATCACTCTGAGGCTTCACTTTCATCACCACAATTATCACAATCCCAATCTATCACAGACTCTTGGTGCCTCTAATAAGAAAATTCACAGGAATTGCAACAGGCATCACAATGCTTCAAAGACTAGGTTTCAGCATTTTCCTTTATGTTCTAATCATGCTTGTGGCTGCCCTGGTTGAGGCTAAAAGGCTTAAAGTAGCAAGTGAGCACAATCTCTTGGACGATTCAGAAGCAATAGTGCCAACAATTAGGGTTTGGTGTTTGCTTCCTCAGTACATCATGGTTGGGGTAGTTTCTGATGTTTTTGGATTGGTAGGGCTTCAACATTTGCTCTACGATCAATGCCTGAGTCTATGAGAAGCATAGGGGTGCACTTTATAATGGTAATCCTGGGATTGGACGTTTTCTTAGTAGCGGTATTTATCTATTGTGGAGAAAGAAAGCAGAGGAAGATGGCTTGGGAATAATCTGAATAGGTCCCACCTTGATTATTATTGTTTTTTCATGCTTGCTGGTTTCGGTGTTTTGAATTGAGGCCTTTATGTTGCTGCTGCTAAGCGCTGTGTGCGCCAGAAAGCCTCTGAAAATTAAACTAGAATTTATACCTGAAAATTAAACTAGATATAAGTGCACCCTCTCACTTGTAATATTTTGTAATTATGTCATTGAAACTTTGACTTATTTTACTCTTGAAATTTAATATTTTGCACTCCCTATCATTGAGTTTCAAATTTTGTGCCCATCTCTTCCCTACAACTGTGTACACTTGTAGGATTGATCAGCTATATATACATATATGAATTAATGCTAAATAATCTGTGAAGGATAATATAAACATAACTCTATCAAAATTTGTTACGCAATAATGGTGATTATATATATAGAAGATAAGGATAAGATAACAAATCTTCTTGTCCCTCGTAGGATATTTAATATTCTATCTTGTCAAATTCTTCAAATTTTAAGGGAAGCTAATTAACGTCTTTTGCTTATTTTTCTAATCACAAAACAAATGTTTATTATAAGCACAAGTTTAAAGAAAGAGCTCATACTAAAAAACTAGCATATTAAGTAAGAAAATCTCTTAACACTTATAACCTCCACCTCACTTTGAAGGTTTCCTGGTGTAGGATTCATGATGAATCAATTTTAGTATTTATCATACATATGAGAATTGAGAGCTTATCACCTTTTTTTTTTAACTGGACACAGAATTAAAAATAAAGACAAAATCTTAACGTTCTAGAAATGAAAAAATCTTAGTGCTCATCTATATGATGAGCACCAGAACTGGTTCTTAGTTGATCATTGTTGTTTCTGTCTCTAAGCGTTTTTTTTTTTTTAATAACAAGGGACAGACGCTAAGTAGCATTGATATCCTGCTGAAGTACAAGAACTAAATCAAGGGTTAGGGTAAAAGACAGGATGAAAACCAACCACATTTGACAATGCCTGTCTAGCTAATATATTCTTTCTCTAAGTTCTTTTGCCTCTTATTTTAATCTTTTTTTTTAAAAAAAAAACTTAGTATTCAATGGTAATAAATTCAAACCATTTTAAGATGTGATGATGATTAATACAATTCGAGTAGGTGTTCGGGGTGATTTAATTATTTGTTGACGTTAAGTAAGAGAATGATCAATGATCCCCTTCTCGCAAGAATAATTAACGATGTTAATTAATCAACTGATATTTTATTTCTGATTGGTACTTGAACTTGGGGCCTCCAAATTAAGTCTTCATAGGCTTCTCATGAAGAGTAAATTCGTTGATAAATTGACATGCATGATATTTTGTTCGCTTGAGTTTCTGGTCTATATTATATTGTACAGCTTCCTATAAATTTAAATTACATGTATTAATATATTTGGAGAGAGGCGACTAAAAAATATGTGATTGGTAGAAAATCTCTCGTATCCTTTCAATAGCAAGAGTAAGAACTTGGAATTTAAAAAAGAAAAAAAAAGAAAAAGAAAGACAAAGGAATCTTGGCTATTTGTACCTTTAAAGACTTGAAATAATAATTCTTAATCAAATCAAAGCATTGATGTCTGCTAATTATAGCATGCCATTTTAAGATGTGACTAGTAAAAATACTAACCCTTTGTTAACTTTTAAAGCCTAATTTGATTGACCCCTGCCAATTTATTTATTGGTGTATATATACATAACCCTGAAGTATATCGTATGTCTAACACTCACATCTACACGCACACACAAACTATCAAAGCTAGCTAAAACATATCTAGTTGAGATCAAACACAACCTCACAAGGTTTCTTCAGATTTTAGGTTGCGTTTCGTAGCTAATTAAGTGGCTATGAATAGCAACAAATCTCCGGTAAAAGTCAACTGTTCAAGTGATGATAACAAACCCTCCAAAGGTGGCTGGAATTCTGCCATCTTCATCATATGTATATTCTCTCTTTCTAACTTTCTTGCTCACATATCTCATATTTAAGAACCCGTTTATTTTGCTGGAAAGGATGAGAATGAAGTGAAATAAAGAAATAAAATGCAAAAATAAAATGATCATAATATGGAGGGGAGATAGTTCAACCATGTTCATGATTCATGATGTCTGTAGCAGTTGTGGTGATTCTATATGATATTAAATTTTGTTATGCTTCTCATGATAAAGAGGGTAATTTAGTTTATTTTTTCCTCTATTTTTTTTATTCCATTCTATTCTCATCCTTAAATTTCAGCAACGACCGAATAGCCCCTAAATTCTTCTTCTTTTCTCATTCTAAATTGAAGCTCAAAACTTGACTTTAATTAAAAATAAAATAATTAATTTTGTTGAAATGTATGCATATATGCAGTTGTGGAGATGGCAGAGAGGCTAGCGTACTATGGTTTAGTTGGAAACTTGATAAGTTACCTCACAAATGTTTTGAAAGAGCCAATAGTGACAGCTGCACAGAATGTCAACATATGGGGTGGTGTCTCCTTTGTGTTTCCTTTGGTCGGAGCCTTCATTGCTGATTCATATCTCGGTCGTTTCATGACCATTATCTTCGCCTCCATCATCTATCTCTCGGTATTTACATCTATACCCACTAATTACTTTCATCCCAAATGTCAACAATGGTATGGTAGCATTTAGATTGATAAATTTAAATTTGAATTTAAAATTTCACGTTTAAATAATATATATATATATATGTAAACTATTTTGTTTGGCTAGTATGTGATAGGAAAAACATGACAATTAAGTAGAGCTGAAAAAATAGGCGGGCTCGACCCTTATGGGCTTGAGCCCTTAAGCCCAGTTCTCCAATTTTAATCCCATTTTTGAGGCTTAGCTCTTATTTGAAGGGCTCAGGGTCGAGCTCTTAAGCCCTATTTCAAAAAATTTAAATAAAATTAACCACTATATATTAATTAAAATATTTTAAAATTTAAAAAAAATAAAATCCTCATAATTTTTTAGAAATTGAACAACACATATTTAGAAATCTAAATTAATTATACCATTCATCAATCAAAACTTAAATCCTCCTCATCTATAAATAAAACATTAGAACCCTCAAAAGTAGGTTCACTTATTGAAGGTGGAGGAACTTCAATGTCAATATACTCTTCAATCACTTCTTTCTCACCTACAATAAATATTAACAAAATTGTGTCATTATTAAATATACGCACTCACATATATCACAAGACAAAATATTTAGATATATCGTAAGAACAAGTGGCGTGAGACGAAGGGGCAAGGGCAATTGCATGAGGCTGAGGGAAAAGCGACCTTAGGTTCAAGGTGAGGAGTGATTAGGGTTCATGCACGATTCAAAAATTAGGACTAGGGAGGGCTTCAGGCAACAAGTCTGTGATTTCAAAGTTCAAGCGTGCGTTTGTTGTTCCATTAAAAAAATATGACAAGGCCTGAAGGGCCGCCCAGGCCTGAGCTTTTTTTTACAGGGTTTATTAGGGTTACGCCTAAAGCCCGGTTACTTTAAAGAAATAATTTTTAAAATCTGAACCCTTATTTAAACAATGTCTCCAAGGTCGACCCTTATTCCCGACTCTATAATTAAGTTCTTGTACTTTAATTGTGTTTTTTTTAGTCTTTATAGTTTTATTTTGTTATTTTCAATCTCTTTAGTTTGATCAGTTTGTAAGGTTAGTCATAATTTTAAAAATTCACATAGTGACCATAAGTTGGTACTGATAGAGGTAATTTCATTGTAATTCTGCTAATATCTTTTGTTAACATGATAAAAAGATGCTAATAACATATAAATAAATTGACCAAAGACATGATTAAAAATAAAATGTAAATAGGAAAAAAATTTCTTTTACATTTGGCTTAAACAGAATATGGGAGATGAAGGCAGGATTAAATATATGTTAGTAAATGGGTTAATAGAGTTAAATACATGTTAACAAAACTAACTCTGTTAATGCTAACTCATGATCTTTATGTGCATTTTTAAAATTAGAGTCCTGGAGGAGCAAAATTCTTTGGTTAGGGGTAATTTTTTTAAAAAATAATTTTAAACATAATTTAATCATTAAAAAACTGCTTTGAGTTAAAAAGTTGAAAAATTTAGATGTAAGTCTGTTAGGGAGATTAAGAAGAGACCGAACATATTTCATTGACGAACACAATACGACATTACAAAGAAAGGGAATCCTTCACTTGAAGGATTGTAGAACAATCCCAAACTACAGGATGAAACATTAAACCCTATACTTTAAGGTGAGATGATGAGGACTAAGTTAACCTTCCTAATTTCTAATCCAAAGTTGTGTCTTTATATATACACTATGGTCACTAACAACCAAGTGATTAACACATAATCACCTCTAATATTCCAACAAAGTTTAGAAAAAGAATGAAATAAATTTAATATTCAAAATATTAAAAAGAATGGATGCAAAGTCTAAAATTTCATATTCCAAGTGAAGAGACTAACGTTGCTGATATAGACCAAACTAAACAAAATAAAACTATAGAAAGCAAAACGCAATCAATTAAGTACAAGGACATATTTTTATATTTTCCCTATATATATGCGTGTATTGATTTAAGTTGGAGAAAACGTATGCACGCGCAGGGAACGGTTTTGTTGACAATATCAGCGTCGTCATTGATTCCTGTGCACAGTCGAAGATTAATGTTGTACTTAGCACTTTACGTATTGTCGATTGGGGAAGGAGGGCACAAGCCATGCATTCAAACATTTGCAGCAGATCAGTTCGACGATTCATCGCCTGAAGAGAGAATAGCTAAGACCTCCTTCTTCAATTGGTGGTTCTTAGGCATTGTCATTGGTGCTTTAGTTGCCGCCGTTGGTGTTACTTATGTCCAGGTATTTATTCTTCATTCAATTACTATTTTTTTAGGGACTTGCGTCATTTTTATTTTTTGCAAAATTTATCCTTATTTTAAAATTTATGAGTAAAGTCCAACAATAAAAAGTTAGATATTATTTTCTTTTGAAAAATGACTTGTTTTTTCGGTGAAATAACTAAAATATGGATTATCAATTTTTTTTAATTTGTGAAGTCCAGCAAGAAAAAATTAATTACTACTTTTTTCTTAGAAAAATGACTAGAACGGATATTTTTCTGTGCTTCTCTTTTTTATTAATCTTAGTTATAAATTTTTTGGTTGGTATTTTGTAAATTTAGGATAATATTGGATGGGACGTAGGGTTTGGCATAGCAGCAGTGGCTATGGCGGTGGCATTTGGTATTTTCTTGTTAGGGATAAGGAGGTACAAAAAACAAGGGCCTATGGGAAGCCCTTTCACGACGATGGCACAAGTGGTAGTAGCAGCGGTTCGGAAGAGGCACGTCGATGAGACGCGCCATGGAAGAGGTATTTGCTATGGAGATACTGCCAGTGGTGATATACTTATGGAGCCTCAATCTCTGACTCATGTTCGCACGGAACATCTTAGGTACTCTGACGAAGTCTCATATATAATTGTCATTTAAATTAATTCATTTTAGACTTGAATTAGAGTTGGGTGACCAGCAGGCTAGCCTATAAATAAAAATAGGTTAGTTCAAGCTAACCACTCTAACTACAACTACACATAAGCTTCTCCCATGGCAACGCGGACGTGGAGGAGAGGGTAAAAGAAATGTAAAGAAATGTGGACCCACAACTTAGAGTAAAGTCATGGACGGTCAAATTTAACTGAAGATGTTGGGTGTTTAGTTTTTCTTAGTTAATAATTTATTTTACACCAGCTCATGATATAGGATATCAGGTACTTCATTAAAAGTAATTTATGGTTAAATTTGTACTTTTACCTAAGAAAATATAATCACAGTTTCTTTTACGAAAACAAGTATGAGCTTAAATAGATAGCTCGAGTCTATTTTTTCAGGTTTAAATTAAATGCGTTGAACACAAGTTCTTTTGTACTAAAATATCTCAATTTTCAAAGCTCAAGTCCAAAAACATATATATAGGCTTAAGCAAGTAGCTTGATGGTTGATCTATATTCCCAATTCTCAATGATTAATATGTAGCATTTTTTTTTGTTGTATTAAGTTACTTAGTCATTTTATCTGCATATTACATGAATCGAATAAAATATACTGAGTCTTGCACTTTTGAAATGCTTCAGCTATTTGGACAAGGCGATGGTAATTGATGATACGGACGCATCAAGCAATAGAAGAAACCCTTGGAGGCTATGCACATTAAACCAAGTAGAAGAGATGAAGCTAGTGTTTGGCCTCATACCCATATGGATAACATGCTTGTACAATAGTATAATTGGATCTCAAGTGGGCACCTTCTTCACCAAACAAGGCAGTACAATGAATCGATCCATTGGACCCCACTTCAACATTCCTCCAGCATCACTCTTAGCCTTCCCTAACCTCGCCACCATTATCATAATCCCAATCTATGACAGATTCTTAGTGCCTCCGATCAGAAAATTCACGGGCAAACCCACAGGAATTACAATACTTCAAAGAATAGGCATTGGACTATTCATTTCTATTTTAAACATACTTGTGGCCGCCCTAGTTGAGGCCAAAAGGCTTAAAGTAGTAAGAGATCACAATCTCTTGGACGACTCTGAAGCAATCGTGCCAATTAGGGTTTGGTGGTTGCTTCCTCAATATATCATATGTGGGGTTGCTGATGTTTTTGGAATCATAGGGCTTCAACATTTGTTTTACGATCAAATGCCAGAGTCTATGAGAAGCATAGGAGCTGCATTTTATCTTGGTAATTTTGGGATTGGAAGCTTTGTTAGTAGTGGTATTATATCTATTGTGGAAAAAGCAAGCAGAGGAAGATGGCTGGGGAATAATCTGAATAGCTCACGCCTTGATTATTATTATTATCTTCTTGCAGGTTTAGGGGTTTTGAATTTAGGTGCTTATGTTGCTGCTGCTAAGCGGTATGTGTACCAAAAAGCATCTGAAAATTGCAATCTATAAACTATGATATAGATGGTGGTGGGCTCATTTTCATGCCTTCAATAATGTAAAGAATATTCACAATTTGAAATATAAATCTTATACTTGGTGTTGATTTAAATTACTAATCAATCTATGTATAGATGCCTAATCTCTTGTCCATGTAATGCTTTTTGCTCATGCCAATTATCTCAATATACAAGCAAATTTCATATTGAAAGTATAATGGATATTTGTAAAGTTGTCCAAGTTTGAGTAAACTTGAGTCGGTGTAAAAAATCTAACATTAGATAAAATTAAACTTGATAACTAATATAAAATGAAGAAAAAGTATATATAAATTTAAGATTTGAAGTTTAAATTAAGTAGTGCTCTTCCATTACTTTTTGTCCGTTTCAGCTATCGCTCTTCATTCCTAACAATATTAACTTCTATCCATTTCAGCCATCACTTTTCATTCCTAACAATATTTGAGAATCCAAATAATTTTTATATACATTTAATTTTTTTATCAAATTTATTACTATGATCAATGTAAAAAAAATGGGGTGCGTGTTTAGAAATTTCTATAGAGGTATTATATTTATGGGTAATAGATACTGAGCTTATCAAACTCGTGAGTACAAGTAAACTTATAATGGGAATGCAAATTCAAATTTTAAACTCATAAGAATTAATCTTTATTTTTTAGTCCATCACTAGCTGTCCTAAAAACTTTGGGATATTATCACTCCAGCCTAGACTAATCATAATAGCTATTAAAAATATATAATTAAATAATTAAAATATAAAATATAACCAACTTTGATTTAAATGTCTCAAATATAAATCATTGAAATTAAATTCATATATATTGATAAATTATCAAACTCAACATAGGAGTTTTGAAATATGGCAACTTATTTTTGGTATTTCTTATTTTCATTTTTATTGATATTAGTTTTAGCTTTTTTTAGTTTTATTTTTATTTGAACCAGGTCATGAATTGAGTTTTACACAGCATATACTTAACTTGCTCAACTCAGTGAAAAGATCAATGAGTTTAATAAGTTTAATTGTGTTTATATCTAGTCCAAATTTAAGAGCAAGTTGACACATTTTTGTATGTTAGAAATGTAAAAATGATAAATTTAAAAAGTCAACTTATGAGTTATAACCAAGTTTATATATAGTCTGAGTTTATGAATAAATTGATGCAATTTTATAAACTAAATGTAAAATTAATAAACTCAAAGATTGAACTCGTGAATTTGACAATAATGACGAGTAGTAGTACTCTAGTCTCATCGAGTCTCTCTGATCTCCAAGTATGAAAACATCAATCTTTCTTCTTCTTCTTTTTAATGAAAACATCAATCTTGATTCTTGAATATCACACAAAAATATCGGATAAATAAATAAGATATAAGAAAACAAAAAACCTCCCAACCACTTTTCTATCACATTTGTTTCGAAAGATTGTTCAAAGTTAAATATTAATCTAATAGAAATGACCAGATCAGTTGGTATTTGAGACGGAATATTGTGTCTCTTTCGGGGATTTTATTTTTTTCCCAAACTTTTCTCTTCCCTCAAGGGCAGATAATTCAAATTTATTCTGAATTAAACTCAGCTTCATACACACACATTCCCTAGTTTTCTTCATTTATGCCTTCAGCTTCGAATCCTCCTTCCTCAGATGAGTGTAAGGGTAAGCCGAAGCTGCTAGTCTTTTTTATCCAGCTTATAAGTGATGGTTTTAAAAGTCTTTTAATTTTTAAGCCCAGCTCTCGTCCATGTTTGTCATGCTTCAAGATCTCCCTCCTCCAATCTTGAAATTTGCACCATTTTCTTTCTCTTGGTTGTGGGGTAGTGATATCACAAGCAAAGGTCCAACACCCAGCAATGTCAAAGTTGATAGTGGAGCAATAACAAATGAGGATTGAATGGCAGCCTTTGATTTCCAATCCCAATATCTCTTGTCATTTCCAAAACCAAATGTCACAGATTCACAGTAGAGAAATAAGGCATCCTATTATCACTATAAACATGATGAAGTATAGTAGTTAAATGAAGAAACCCAATATTCAATGGTTGCAAGGCCCGCAAGCTACAACAATAAGCAATTTATTGAGAGATAATTGACAGCAACATGAAGGATTGAGGTGGTGCATCCACTAATTTAAGAAACTTGGTCTGGGGCAAATATAATATGGCAAACTCCAAGTAACAAGCTCAAATGGAGAAAATGAATGCAGGGAAACGCTTTAGAGCCCAAACCTCAAACTCTATTATTTGGTAAATCCAGCTAGAAATAAAAAGTGAAATACCCGGATTGAAGATCATCTACCAGGAAATCCTCGAATACACCCTATCAGTGCCAGTACTGACCCTTGAAAAGAAGAAACAAAAAAAGTGTGAAAGGAAATTGAGCCTAAGGGCATAATCCATAAGTTCTTCTCCTTGAACAGAATCAAACCAGCAATGTTTTATCTAAGGAAGAATAAAATACATAAGGTCAGTCATAACACCAAGGAAGAAAGTTGGGGATGGAAGAAGGAAAATGGATTCCATATCATCGCTGGGCTGCATCAAACTTGAACCCTTAATGGTGAGATTGTGAATCACTAAAAATGACGAAAACCATCTCTTCATCATTATCGTCATTGGTTGGCAGCATGGTTGATTCGGTAGGATGATTACCCTCGACTTGCACTGTAACGACTAATGATTGCTTTAAATCAGGAGTACCCTTATCACAAGGTTCAGATGGATTAGTGACCAATGACTTCTACACACTCAGATTTTTTTTTTTTTTTATTAGCTGTTGTTGGCGGTGAATAATTGACATTGTGGCCACTCAGTGAGAGTTGGAGGCCTCGGTTAACAGATTGAGCAAGTTTCTTAGCTTCCCATAGATTTTACCGTCTTTAAAGCTTAACTCCACTAGCTACTTCAGGCTCAAGAGGCCTTAAATAACAGTTCAATTGCAGATTCTCAGGTAAGACTACCTTACCAATGAGTTTGTCAAACCAAACCTGAAACTCAACCAGCATTCCCATTTGTTTCATTTGCACAAGCTCCCTCATCAGATCCTCGTCTCGATTTGAGTTGAAATTGGTGAAGGTAGTCTTCTGAACCCACTCATCATCGAATGTGGATGAAGAAGAATTATTGTTGGCCATTGAAGCGACCTGCTTTGATACCATTGATAGGATTAGAAATACAGAGCAGAGCAAAAGAACGAGCAGAGCAGAAGATAGAAGGCATAAGGAGATGAAGAAGGCGAAGGGGAAGAGAGAAATTCGGGAATAGGTAATCTCATTAACAATATCGATAATTCTATAATGAATTACAACAAGAAATATAACGTCAGCAATTAATAAAAAGACAAAAATAACCCAATGCTCTAAAATAAAAAAACAAATCGTATCAGCCGTTCTTTGCTGTGGTGGATTATGTGGCATTTCAATTTCCTACTCATGTTCTGTGTCATCACCATCTTCCTCTTCTTTAAGTGCTGTCGTCGACGATCAAGAGGAGGGAAGCTCGAAAACTCTTCTGTTCACTCCTATGCTATCTCGTTGATATGTTTGGATCCATTTCCTCCTTCATTTTTCCGCACCACTAGGTTCTCTCTCTTTCTCCTTGCTCGGTTATGGCTGAACTAATATGAGGAGTTTTGAATACTCTTTCTTGTTGGATCTGTAGGTGTGTATGTGTGCTTGAATGGTTGGGGTTACAATTCTTTTTGTTTGCTATTACTATGCATGGTTAAGAACGGAAAGGGAGTTTTGAGTCTAGTTGAAATATTAATCTAAAGAGCAAGATGGGCAGGTGGGTTTGAACTTCCTTTAAACTTAATTGATCTTTGGTGGGAAAGTTAAATTTGAAAAACAAGATGAATTTGATTATGGATGTTTGGAATTTAATCTGTTGGGCAGGAGACTAAAGGTTAAGAGAAAAGCTCTATTAAATGGTTTGAAAATTCAAGCACATAAGGTGTTTGAAATAAGGCCTAAGTGAAAATTATATTCCAATTGCGTAATTATCTATGATTAAAATCAAATATGAAAATTTTGAGATATATAAGATAATGACGATGTTGGGAAGGAGTTTACTTAATTTTATAGCAAGTCTATTGCAAAATTTTATATATACTTGATAGGTTTTCAAAAAGAAAAAAAGAAAGCTTGATTGAAGTTATAAGAAGAAAATTTTATAACTTGATAATATATATTAAGTAAGTAAATAACATTTAGTTCTATATGAATTAAAGGTGATGATCTTATTATTATTATTATTATTATTATTATTATTATTATTTATTTGAGCTTGATTGCATAAATAGAATTTTTCCTTAATTTTTTTTATGTTTATATATAATATGGAGCCTTGGAAAATTCAAGTTGAAGAGTGTAGGTTTTACAAGATCTGAAATTATTGATATATATATATATATATATTTTCATATAATATTTTTCTTTCCAGAATATATTATTCATGCATGGATTGAACAATCTACAAATGAAAGGATAAGTAGCCATTATGAATTTATGAACAATTTGAACTGTAAGGATATTTAAATTCCATGCTTGTCAAAAATATTTTATAAGACTGAATACAAAACACTAATTGCTAATAACAGTTTTGGCCCTTGACATATTATAGTACACTTAGCTAGTAAAATGCATTAGAGATACTAGTTTCATCTGTCTACCAACACACTTGGAATAGAGGATGCAACTTTGTGAATATAATCTATGCTTATTATTCATGAGCTTTATGTTTATACCTGTTTTTCATGATTTCTTGCCACACCAGATATTATTTACTCTTATAAATTGTGTGTCTATGCCTATTATTTGTTCTGTTTAGGTCTTAACAAAGAGCATAGTTTTCCAAGTTATACTTTCACTTTCAAAATGATGAATTTGTATTTTTTTTATAAATTTTAAGAGATTGAAAATAAATTGTACTATTATCTATCTAGCACCATCAATAACTAAACTAGTTATTTCTTTCAAGTTTTAGATGTTCATGGTTATTGTTTATATTATTATTATTATTATTATTTGAGGATATTATTTATTGAAATAATTTTTGGTATACAAATAATAGAATTAGACCTTATTTTCAATAGACCTCGTGTGACTCCTTGAGGCAAGAAGCATTTTATTACTCTAGTTACCTTGTGGATTAATGCAAATATTAAAGCATTCTATTTTGCTCTAGAGTCGCTTCACGAATTATATAGACGACATTCTTGTTTTAAGTATTTTGGCATATATGTATATATACTGATATGGAGTAGAACTTTGTATGCTATCTGGATATATTTTTGCCAATTGTAGGGATTTCAAGAAGTTCAATTTGCAAGGAAGACTCTGTTAAAATTTTTACAATAGATTAAATATTTTCTAACTACTAGCTTATGGTTATGGATATGAATCATGCTAGTATGATAATTTATAACTATTATATTAGGTGTTCTATGGGCTTAGGCTTATAGAATGTAAGTTTTTTCTTCCTTGTATTTCTGCCGGCCACACCTTGAATTTTTGGGGTGTAACACAAATAGTAGCACAATTAGTACTCCTACATTCTAGAGTTGAATGGGATATATACTAATATTTTTGTCATCTTTGTAAAACTTGCAATGGAGCTAATGAAGCAAGGGGCCATGATGACTATATCAAATAAGCATATTTTTTTAACTAACTGATGTCATTTTTAACTTGCAATAGATTGGATTGGGTATGATTCAACAAATGCAACATGTCTGTCCTAATAGCAAAGGAACTGGTCATTGAAACTTAAAACCTCACCTTTCTTAAGTTGCTTTTTGGTATTTCAACTTCTACATCTCATCTTCATTGTTGCAAGTGAGGTCAACAGTAAGAGAGACAAACACCCTCAATGCAAGTGAAACAAAGTCACTCAGGAAAAGAAGGTACTAGAGATGCATGTTGAGAAAGGGATGCAATAGGTTCAAAAGATTGTGTTTGAAAGGCAAGTTGATGATCAAGTGGCTAATTTCCTTGATAAGGAGGGACGGTAGGATATAGCAAAGATGAAGATTTGGTTGCCTAGTCATGTTGCTCACTAGATTGTTTGCATTCAATTCCTGAGAGTTGAGTGTGGATAGGATTCATTTGTTTGGAAACCATCTAACGATGGTTCCTTTAATGTTCGATCTGCCTATGAGTTTCTTATTGCAAGCACCAACTTGATCTCGGGTAACAATTGGTGTAGAATTTGGAGATGGAAGGGTCCAAAAAAGATCAAGACACTCCTGTGGCTATTCGAGAATAACAAGGTCCACATGGCAGAGTTAAGAGCCAAGCATGGTTTGCTTTTATCAACAAGTGGCCACTTGGTTGCAATTGTACAAAAGATGAGCTACATTTGTTCAGGAGGCTATCCACATGCAGAGGAAAGATGGAAGTGGCTGGTCAAATAGGAACATTGGAGCCATTTCAAGGGGCCTAATCGTGAAGATTGGATCTCTTGGAACTTCAAGAAAGCTAAGCAAAAGATTTCACCAAGCATGTAACTTGGGATATTTTGCTTTGACGTGTTTGCTGGGATATATGGTTTGATAGATGTCAAGGAGCTTTTGCTAATAAAGGAGTTGAGAAAATGGGGTTTGGTTTTGCTACTCTTCAGAAAGCTAAAACAGATCTGAGTTTATCTCTAGCTTCATATAGTCTGCGCAAAAAGCCAAATAAACCTCTCAATAGTTGGAAAAGACCAAGGGTGGGCTTCATTAGATTTATCAAATTATTTATCATCGGTGCAATGTACAGGGTTTGAATAATGTTGTCTATTTTTTTTAAAGGTTTGAATAATGTCAAAATTGATGAAGAGTTAGGCTACTTATTACCAATGTCTTCTTTTTAAAAACAATACTTCATGTGATCTTATTTATAAATCACTTTAATATTTTTATCAAAATCAAGGAATACCTTAAACTCATTAATTTGTATAAAAATTCAACTATTTTTAAACTTTACCTTTGTTAAATATACCTACTCTAAAAATAAAATACTCCAGTATTTAATAACTTTCCTAACATTGAATAAGGGTAAAAGAGTAAAAATAGATATAATAATTATTGAAGTGCTCTATAAATAGGACTAGAGGAGTAAATATTTTCAGCTACATTAATAAATACAAATAATTTGAAATTAAGACAAATTCTCGTGTTCTTTACCGTCTTACTATATGGTATTATTATTAATTACAAAACTATTACTAATAATACAAATTTTAAGAATAGACACCTAAAATATAATTTCCAATTGTTCAAGCATTATTTAATCAATGTTTGAAGTTGTTAAAAATTCAAATAACATAAATGGTTCATTATCATTGAAAATAATTTAAATCTATGTAGTCTTTAATTTTATAATCTATAAGCAAAAATGCTTATGCATGGTAAATTTAATTTTATATTAGCTCTGAATGAATAAAATATTTTGTTAAAATTTTATTTCATCTGTTGTACCTACTCAAATATATATGTTTGACATCTTATTTATTATAATTGATACTGTAATCTGGTTTGATTAGTACCCTTGCGCGGGCTTTGAGTCTATTAGTCATAAATTTTAGTATATCCATCTGTGATGATAATGATATATTGGCCTATTAATATATTAAGTATTAATTGTATCAAAATTAATTCTTATACAAATTTCTCAAATTAAATCACTCCAAAAAGATTATCAAGAAATATCTTATACCATTAAATTTAATATTTAAAAATAAAAAATAAAAACTTTAATTTCATAATAAAATTTTCAAAAGCATGTTCGATTTTTTTTTTTCAAGACCAATAAGTAAAAGTGTATTTTTCTTTGATTTTTCTCTGTTTATATAAAGATAGCCTTTATTAGATAACCATCTAAAAAATTAAATTTAAAATTTTATTATAGCAAATCTAGTTTAATTTTTTTAAGATTATGATGAATAATTTTAATAGTTTAAAAAAAATCTAAAAGCAAGATAAATTAATCAATAAATAATGATAATTATTTTTTTATGATTATGATGAATAATTTTAATAGTTTAAAAAGATGCTAAAAAAAGATAAACTGATCAATAATAATGATAGTTAAGATTAAGTAGTATTTTTTAATTTGTTGAACTAGCATGAAAAACTGTAAATCAACGTGTCATGTTAAGTTAGGTTAGCAGTTAACTTATTCAAGAAATTAATTCATTTTACAAGATACATATTTGAACGAGTAATATATAGGTGATATATATTTTATTGAGCTTAAATATTGTTCATTAGAATATTTTTTGATTAATATTAAAATTATTCAAACAAAGATAATCAGATATCATTATCTTCAAACGAACAAAAAATAGATAAACATCGTTTATCTGCAAATTTTAAATTGCGAATCCCCTCAAATCACTATGTATATATACATATGTGTGTGAGTGTGTGTAGAAGAATCCCACACACTCAGCCATAAAAAATTCCGTCCTAGCTGCACTCAGCCATAAAAAATTCTGTCCTAGCTACTCGAATGGAACATCAGATTATCTCTATTCATCGTACTTTACGTGATGATTCTTGTGCTTCTACTTCTTCGGCCAGACCTACGTATGCTGCTGTTCTTTCTAAGTCATTGCATCCGCCAGCGATGGTGGCTGAAGCGGCATCTGATGTTGCATCTTCTCTTTCTAAGAACCTTAAGGGTGAGGGGTCAGAGTCATCATCCGAAGGTTTGGCCGAAGAATCCTCGCCTGTGCTTGTGCAGGTTTGTTTTATTTTCTTTTGGCATATCTTGTTACCTGATGTTAGATCAATTTCAACATATTTTAATATTTTAATTTTCAATTATACGTAGGATTCTCAAAGTCAAAGTCAAACTTCCACCGCAGAGAAAGATGCCATCACTGTTGATGACACTGATCAGAAGCAAGAAAGCCTAAAGGACGATGTGTCGTTCAACAGCCAGGCACAGTCTACAACTCAAGGTCCCATGACAGTGACAGGGCCCCACAATAATACACAAAGGTTTGCTGGAATAACTACTGGATATGGATCAAAGATTCGTAATGCTAACCTTCCTCCACAACATCATGGTAGGATCAATCAAAATTGGAACACTCGTAGGAGTTTTCATGGAATAAGAGGAGGCATCCATATGCCACCTAGAGGCCCTATAATATATGCAAGGCCACCTCTGCAGCCTCCACCACCACTACCACGTCCGCCATTACTGACTTCTTGTCCTTATAACCATTTGCACCCATCACCGATGTTGGCACCGGTGCCGCCGCCACCTTATAATAAAGGCCCCTATGGATTCTCTGCAGGTATATGTAATCTCCTTCTAATAATATGTGAATGCCTTTAAAAGTTAATTTTTATAAATGAAGAGTGACTACTCAGGATGCTAATAAAAGTCAAATTGTATATTTCTAGTTTTCTTGGTAATCAAAATTATAATTTTGCATGCTAATTGCTAACCATGTGTCCTATTTATTTACAGGATTGGGTCCTCATCATTTTCCATATGGTGCTGTTCGACGACCTCCTATTTGTGTTCAAGCACCAAATCCCGCGGACCTGTATGATAAAATTGTAGACCAGGTTGATTTCTATTTTAGGTAGGCCTTCAATATATATAATTATATATATACATGAATTTACTTAGCATTAGTCTTTTATTTTTATTTTTATTTTTCTTTTCATCGTTTTAACTATTCTAACTGTCATATAACATATATACTTAATTTGTGATCTTTTGCAGTTTTAATAACCTGGTTAAGGATATTTATCTGCGGAAGCAGATGGATGATCAAGGTTGGGTTCCAATAGGAATTATAGCATCTTTTCCAAAGGTAATATCTTTATTTGCTTGCCTTTTATATATTATACATTGCTTTTTCCAATTTTTCTTGTTATGAAGAAATAATGTTTTTTGTTTCATCTTTTCTCGTTGAGTTCAATCTTAAAACTTAACTGTACTGGATTTTTTTTTTTGCATTTATATACATTTTACTAAATGCTTTAGGCATTTTTATAGATAGTGTCATTTTTTTAATATAGAAGAAATCTTAAATTCAGAATTAAATTTAAAATAAACTAAATCTTAAGATATGGATAGATCCTATAAATCCTAATTATTTAACTATATATTTATATCACAGATAATCTGAATATCCTAATAAAATTAACCTAATTAAGTTAAAAAAAACACTAATAAGTAACTATGATTTCTTTCATTTGTTCCCCTCCCTCCTTGTGTATATATGTGTGTGCCTTATAAATATTGTATATATTTTTGTAGCATTTATTAACTGACGATATTTTTATTTTTCTTACCTTTTCTCTCAGGTCAAACAATTGACTGGCAATGTCCAGATTATAGCAGATGCTCTTAAAGCGTCTTCAGTAATTGAAATTTTGGTATTTTTTTCCTTGCATTTAAATTGTTATAGAGTTATATATATATATATATATATACCTACATGCATTGTTTAAATAATTAACAATTAGCTTATAGAATTAATATGTGATTAAACATGTGTTTCAAATTTCCATCATTATAATTACATATATTATAATTTTGTTAATTAACTAATTATTTTTTCCTCTTATATAGGATGACAAAATCAGGTTACGTTCAAACTGGCAAAGATGGATTCTGCCTCCCTCATTTCAATTTGTTTTCTGATTGTGGGGAAATAACAGTGTCAAATTTGAAATTATTTTTGAGAATTTCATATGTAATAGATGGTTTGAGCTATATTGTAGTTAAATTTGGTACTGCAAAGCCATGAAGGCTATGAGGTGATGAGCGTACATAGTGAGATACGAGTGGAAGTTAGCATTAAGATCCTTTCTTATTAAGGGAAAAAAATTGGTTCCTGAGAGATGAAAGGTAACTAGGCTGTTTTTTGTTCTTTTGTTTTCCCTTGTAATCTTTTTTTTTTTTAATGGAAAACGATTACAAGGGAACGAGCCTAGTTACCTAGGGAATTTCATAGTAATGCTCATTTTCCATTAAAATTAAATTCGTATTGGATTCTCTGTTGCAAGATATATTAATTAAAGGAGAAAGAAATTTGTATCCAATAATTATTTTTCTTTAGTCAAGATCATTCCATGCACAAGGCCATAACTTAAATTATTACTTGTATTCATTTCTCGCATAATGAGCTTTTTTTATTAAAAAGGATCATACAAATCAAAAGAGATTACATCATATAGGTGTCCCTTAATTGGTTGCTTTCATCATTTCTCTCTCAATGAGCATATTAACAAAACTATTCATCACAATTTTTTTGAGCATGCTTTTAAATAATTAAGGTTATCTCAGTTCTTACAATTTTTTAACCCAAAATAACTCAATTCAATAGTTTTTTTTTAATTCAGTATAACTAAGTCTCTATAATTCCTTAATTAACTTGCTAAACTATAAGAATTTAATTATAATGAGTCAAAGTTTAATAACTAAATGGATAATGAAAAGAAATTTTAGAGATTAGAAGTTATATTATTCCTATACATAATATAAGAAATAGGGAAAAGGACAATTAAGGACCCCATAAGATCAATAATTACAATTAGGGACCCTAAATTATTGAAGTTCTAATAATGGATCATGGTCTTTACTTGAAATTAAAAATATATATGAGTTTACAAAATTATCCTTGAGTAAACTATAAAAGGCACCGGTAAAATTATTATGATGAATTAGGACTATTGTTAATCTCAATTAAAAAAAAAATCAAGATCCATACTTGGAATAGGTTGTTTCCTAGTATGAAACTAAAACTCGCTAATGAAACTTTTGAAAGATAGTTGTCAGTATAAGATAATCACTTAAAAGTTTACCAAAATCATTTTAAATATAAAATCAATCACTTTTAAATTTTTATGCTCGTCAATATAGAGGTAAACCACTTGAAAAAAATTAAGAAAAGACATTACTAAAATTACTATCTGAGACTATTACTAACCTCAACTGGAAAAAAAAACTAGAATATCAAATAGTATGAGTTGGGACTATTGAAATTATTATTATGGGTTGGGTCTACTATTAATATCATACCCAAGTATGGATTCAAGTTTTTTCAATTGAGATTAACTATATTCTCAATGCATAATAGTAATTTTAATACTCAAGACAATTTTGTAAACTCATATATGTTTTTAATTCCAAATAACAACTATGATCCATTATTGAGATTTTGTGTGTGTTTGATTTTTAGTTTGTCAAAAATCAATTTCATAAAAGTTCATTTGGCAAAAATCAGTTTGGTGAAAGTCAGTTGTTGTAACGATATTTGTATTTGAATGCATTTTTTTAAAAGTCAGTTTGGTAAACTGATAGTTGTTTGGATTAATAAAAATTTGTGCTTTTGAAATGTACTTTTTAATATATAATGACCAAAAAGGACATTGATTTATGATAAGTTATAATTTTTATTATATAAACATTATATATTAGCAATGTTTAAAAATGTGAAACAAATTTAAAATAACATAAAATTTAAAATGTTAAATAATAAGAAAAAATATAAAATTTAATTTTGGAAAAAAAATTATGTAATAAATAGTTAAACATTCATTAATATTGAATAGTTACATGATTAACGGTTCGATCTATAATATACAATATGATCTCTAATAGAATATCAAATCCCATTCATCTCTGTAATAGAAGTTATGCTTGAAATTGCACTTGAAATTGTTGATGAAAATACATGCTTGTCATTATCATTGTTAGTATTAACTATATTTTCATCCTCAAAATGCCTAAAATCAAAATCATCAGTTGCAAATTTTCTTCTGATAAAATTATGTACAGCCATTATTGCACCAACCATAGAAACTTGTGTCACAAATGGATAGCTAGGCATGTGTCATAAGATTGTGAATACATTTTTCCAAACCCCGAAAGTCCTTTCAATTGTGGTCCTTAAGCTTGAATGATAATAATTGAAAACCTTATTATTGTTTGCAAATGAACGCTTGAAATCTAGGAGGTGATATCTATGAGATCTATAAGGACTTAAATATCCACATGGTGTTGGATAACCAGCATCTAATAAATAATATTTACTTACTAATAAAAAAATAGAAATTGTAAGATCTCAAAAAATATTGAAAAAATTATTTTAAATTAGATAAATATGAAATATACCTTAGGGTGGATGTGAAAATTTCAAGTTCAGTCTTGTGAGTGCATAGTCAAACAAACGAGTATCATAGGCAGTCCCTTCCCATCTAGCCATGACATAAGTGAAGCACATATCACAATCACATATGGCCATTTTATTTTGTGTTGAAGACCTTTCTTTCCAATATATTTCCCTTGCTCTTTAACACCAACCATGCACGGGATATATGTTCCATCAATTGCTCCTATGGCATCTTTAAAAAATGGCCAATATCGCAAATCACCAACAATTTTTGGATGAATATCTTGAAAAGTGTGATCTTTTAGTTAGATATATTCCTTTGCTAGCTTCTCACAAGCATGGAATACATTTCTAAAATGTCTGTGAATAGTCTTTGCTGAGTGTTGAAATCATTCTTGCGTCATCCTATTCCCTACCCTATGTTTAACAATATTTAAGAACATACCAACCATTTTATGAATCCCTATTCTTTTAGTTGGACGCAAACCATGTTACACTAGTTCATCACAAAGTTGAAGAAAAATATCTTTTTCCATGTAAAACATGTCATAACAACGCTAAGGATACCCTTATAAAATTTCTTGCACCAATGTATGACTTGATTGTGAATTGGTTCTACAAGGCTCTTTCAATAAAGTTATTGAGTAATTAGATACTATTGCAGTAATAGCCTCAACCTCATCATCTTCCACATGTACAAGTAATTGTCATAAGCGAGATTGCGTACTCTCATCAATAAAAACTGCATAGCATAATTAAACAACCATTACGCTATTGTTCATGACTTGACATTAAAAGTACATAAAACAAGAGTCAAATAACACAGACAGTTTCAAAACAAAGTTAACAACATAAACAGCAAACATTGAGAAGGCAAGCTAGGATTGATCTAATCTGCTTTTATGCCCAAGTACTTTAAATAGGCCACTAATGCTCTTCTATTATCCCTAAGCCTAATATGCATGTCCCTTACGGTTTTATCTAGCAAGGCCACAGCATACTGCAAGAAGTACCTCATCACAAGCAATCTCCTCGATTTCATAAATTTCCTTTACAACATCCACCATATGTTGATCAACTAGTTTTGTTTCACCCTCAATGGAAATAAGAATTGATTTCAGTTTTGAAACCCTATCCTCTTGTGTGGACACCAATCAACTCACTGAATCAACCATCACAATTGCAAGACATTTTCCCTTCTTGTTTTGACCACTTTCACCTCTCTTTCATTTGCTCCCTGAATTAGTACCACCACTATATTTATTATTCAAGTTAACATGCCTAATTTTTAGGAGAGCTCCTCCACTAATGTTTCTTACATAATCACTGCCTCTTGATCTTTTAGTCAAATCCAATTGAGGCCTATACACATCTTGCAGATCATCAATCACAGGTGTCCACATGTAAGTGCCCTGTGCTGCAACTGGCTGAAACAACTGTGTCAATTCTTGTACATATGGAAGTAGTCTATGCCTAAATTTCTTATACTCGGGATTCTCCTGCACATTTACAAGAACTGAGTCCAATATATTTACAAAATAAAACATCAAATATATAGCATGCCATATATAATTGTATACCTTAATCTTTTGATTCCACCATTCCTCCGGTGTTAATACAGTATTCTTTTCACTATCCTATCCCAAAGCAATCTCTTTGTTCAACAGTTTGTCTCATATATTCTAGTCTTTCCTCAAATTGTCCCATTTGTTCTTTAGCTGCTTCTTTTCATAGCTTCTAAAGCTCAATGCATTAAATTATTGCATTAGTGCCTCCCAACCTTCCTTTGATAAGGTAGAGCCTTTACGCTCATTTTTTTTCTAACTTGCTGAAGAGCTAATTTAATAAACAATTTAGTCTCTTATGTATTCCATAGTGCTTTTCTTTACTCATTTTTACTATCAAAATATCATATTCTCAATGATCAAGTTGGAAGAGTTAAAATATTTATACCTAATATACACTATGAAATAAAATTGGCATTGTATTAATTTACAGAGAGCCCACTTACCATTTAAGGAATGAGCTCATTTCTAGATTTAAGTACAACATATGGAGACATCAATGTATGAAATAAAATTGGAAACACAAGTTATGAATAAAAGACACCTTATTTGCAATGTAAAGGCAATGTATATATTGTAGGAACAAGTAAAGAAAGTGAAAAAGACATTTATATAATCTCATCTTTCATTGCTGATTAGTTTCCTCCGACATTTCAGTTCATAGATAACCTAAAATTCACCAACCAATTGGCTG